AGCATCACATCAGCTTTCTGAGGGCATCTCCACTGCAGTTACTGGTGATTGGGGTGGGAGATCCTGAGCTCAGAGGAGCTGTAAAGGTTGTTTATTGCCTCCTGCTGCAGCACAGAGATTGGATTTCTTAAAGCATGAGCTTGCCTTGTTAAATAAGCTGTCTTTGTTTCTGTTCATGTCTTAGCTCGGGCAGTCCATCGCCTATTGGAAAACCGTCACCATGGTGTCCCCTGGCCATCCACAGTCTACCCTATTACACAGCTGACCAATTCCATCATCAAGAGGGTGAATGAGGCCTCGGGCCTCTACCAGATGTTCAGTGTCCTGGCTGACATCATACTGCTGAGAGAGTGAGTGAGTGTTCCCAGCACTGCACTCCATAATTTCATTTCTGTTTCTTTACCGCTGCCTCCCATGTTGCCCCTACACCAGTTGTGCTGTTCCTGCCTAAGGATTTTGCCATTGCATAGGTAACCACCCCAAACCTGTACTACTGCTCCAACTGGTGCCCAATTGTGCACTCTGTTTCTCCCTCTTAAAGGGCTGAAATGGTCCAGACCTTCCCTCTAAGCTCAGGGGTGTAGCACTCTTTTACTGACTCCAGGAAAAAAACTTTGTTGAGCAGTGCTACTGTAGAGAGACTCCCATAATCCAGGAAAATAATGGTGTCTTGTAACAGTAACTGCAGCCTTTATAAGCTCTGCATCAAGTCCAGCTCAGATTTGTAATGACCAAACAAAATTACTATCTGATGACTTTTTGGCTTTAGCCTTGACCAGCTGAGGGTGGGTTGGATCCCAGCTGGCTTTCTCTGGTGGAAAATTCCAATGGTGTTTCAATTCACAGGAATGCCACAGCATTTGAATACCTGGAAGAGTACCCTGTTGGAGTCCTGGCCGAGCTCGAAATGCAGACGGGAAGAAAGGCTCACAATGGGCTCTTTGTCATCATTATGGAGTATGGCAGGAATTTCTCTGGGGCTGACAAGGATGTCTTCTACTACAACCGTGCTGTGGGAGAGGCGCAGCATGCCTGGCAGTCCAACTTTTTACATCCTGTTATTTACTATTACAAACACCTCCCAACAGGTAAGCTTTCCTGCTACTTGTGTGACACAACCAAAACGAAGAGGGATAAAGATAAATCAGAGCCAGAGTGGGGGTGGTACCTGAAAGCACTATTCCCCCTTCCTGTGAGACACCTCCCACCACTGTATGAGCTGAAAAGGAAGCTGAGAGTTGGCAAGAAAGTTCCATCTGTAAGACCGATATAAGGGGTGGAGGGTTGTACCAGAGACCTCACATTTGAAAATAGGAACAAACAGGCGTGCTGGAAATTTCCCCATGCCCAAAAAGAGGAACAGTTCTTCACTTTGGCTGGCACTCTATGTGAATTTTGCAGAACCTGACAGATGAGGGTGTTGTTGTTTGGCCATCGTGCTGCAAAGAAAAAGCTGCTCTCTGGCAGGCCCAGGTCTGAGAGGTCACACAGACATAGAGGCAGCCAAAGGCAAGGATTTGAAGAGGAGTGTTCTCTCCAGCAGCAAGCAGGCTTAGGGTAGACTTCCTTGGGAAATGAGAGTGTTGAAATCTTCATCTCCAGAAACCTAGGGTTAGGGTCCAGCTTGCCTTCTCAGAAATCAGCATGATGGGTAGCAGCACTAAACACAACGTAGCCCATCTGGCAGTCCCTGCCCAGGGGGAACAGGAGTGAAATGACAGGAATGCTACAGACAGGGACAGAGGGCAGCTGTGGAGTGGCAGGGCTGTTGAGGACAGAGCTAGCAGAGGGGATTGCAAATGAAAGTAACAGATTAAAAGGTCAGGACAAAAGCGGAAACAGCTGTCACAGCTGCTTTCCACTCCCCAAGCTCTTTTTAATGCCATTTTGTTTCTAAGAGCCTCCCTTAATGTTCTCTTGGCAGAGCGTGAGATGAGACTCCGTCCCCCAGACTGGCCTCTGCCCCGGCCAAATGCCATCCATCACATTGTGGAGGACTTTCTGACAGACTGGACAGCCCCGAATGCTCACATCCTGCCGCTGAGGCGCTTTCTGGAGAACTGCCTCGGCACCGACCTGCGCAATTTCTTTGCAGGTAATTTGTGCACAGGGTCAAAGTGGCAGGAAGAGGAGGAGCAATGTGAGGAACAAGGGACAGGAATGATCTCGTATGCAAATAGCTGAGATCTCCCTGTGGTGAGCTGCTTGTGTCTCACCATCAGTCACACCTCCTCAAGGCACTCACCAGATGGTACAAAGTGCTGTTCTGTGTGTGTGTTCCCAAAGAGTCCTTGCTCTTGTCACCTTTAGAAGGAGGCTGGCCCAGGCATGCCAGGACTTAGAGAAAGGCATATAAGGTCGGGTTCAATCCTTTTTTTAGCTGCAGCTTTCCTTTCTTCTTCATTATCTGAACATGTCTTTGTGCCATTGTGTACTAGATCTCATGTACTGGTGATTGGATTGCTTTCCCATGGGAAATGGGAGTGCTGTGATGTGAGAGGTGAAGAGCCTCTGCTGCCTCCCTTCCTGGTATTAACACTGGTGTGGGGCCCTCCTGCAGGAAGCCCACGTGGCACGCAGAGGGAAGCCATCTTGTAGCACAAATATGCCAGATGGATGCAAGCTCAAATCCAGTCCCTTTTTCTCTCAGCGTGCAGACTGGAGATCCCTCTCTGCATCTCCTGAGCTTTGCAGAATTACATCAATCACTGTGCTGCCACCCAGGGAAGGGGAGCGAGTGGGAAACTCCAGCCATCTTCCCTCATCCTTTCTGCCTTTTGTTTTGAACAAGTCCCTGATAGTTTATGGGAGTATTTCCCTACGGGGTGTCTCTGCTGACTCTAACTTTTGCTCCTTTCCCCTGCAGAGTCCTGTTTCCTGTTTGCCTTCACCCACCAGAAGCTGCCTCCCTCCTGCCAGCAGGGGTACATTCGAATGCAGGGGCTGCTGGGGAGCCAGGAGCTCCGGCAGCACGCGGTACAGGCTGGGCTGCTCCAGGATTACACTCCCACAGACTTGTCGGGTGACAGACCCCCTGACAGCCACCATGGCTCACAGGAGCACTTGACGAGAGATCATGGGATACCACTTCGTCCTCTGCAGCATCTTGTTAATGCCAAGGATGAGCTTTAACCTTTCTTGCTGCACACTGAAATCCATAGGTGCTCTCGTGGACAGTACTGTAACAGAGATCCACAGCAGGATTCTGCCCTTTCCAGCATCCCTTTTCCATCCCCATGCCTCCCACTGATCATGAGTTGCCAAAGACCTGCTCAGATCTTGCTGTTACAAAGAGGACCAACATCCTCTGAAGGACTGAGGGACCAAAATCCAGCGATGCTGAGGTTCCATTGTTGTCCTTGCAGAGTTCAGAGTGGCCTGAAGATGGTGTTGGTGTTTATCTCACCGGGATCTGCAGTGACGTACAGAGGCCACAGAAGTGAGCGCAGGAATGCCTGGGAAACTTCAGATGTCACGTCCCCCTCAGAGATGGCCTGCTCACAGCCTGTGGCTCTCTGGTCCCTGGATGCCCTATGCTGTGTATACTTGAAGATTTGTTTCTGCATTGAATCCTGAAGTGGTACTCCAGGCAAACTTCCTGGTATTTTTCCTGCATTTGAGTTAGGGCAGTTGTGTAGCTTGAGTGGGGAAAGATGATTTTCTTTTAGTTGCTGTATAGGTCAGATAATTTATAATTTCTAGAGAACACTACAAGGGACTCTTTCCTCCACAACAGATGAGTAGCTTGCTTGGAATGCCTGGGACACAGACTTACAGAGTTTGGGTCTGCTGTCCTCATGGTTTTTTTCTCCCACACCAAGCAGCCTAGAAGGTTAGCCTGTCTTTTATAAAGCATGACCAATATTTCTCCTATTTGCACTATGTCCCATCAAGAAAGTTTGATGATGTTAAAATGCTCTTTCTCTGTTTTATTCCCCTCCAGTCATCTTGAGATTTTAGAGGGACTGACAGGGAGGTTGTCTGCACTTTACTGCTCCCCTTGTCAGCCACATATGCTTGGCTATCACCTCCCTTTGGACTCCTTCCGTGGGCCTGGAGTTGCAAAGCAAGAGCAGTTTTGAGCTTGACCTCATGATGTCCCTGTGATTTCTAGGAAATAGAGGAGGGATGAAGGGAACAGGCTTTTATCTCCACATGTTTTTCAACTCTCTAGCTTCTTGAAAAATGCACACTATTGCCTCCAAACTGAGGGGAGGCTGTACCTTACATGTACCTAAAGCTCTGCCAGTGCTTTGAATTCAGCTACTGTTTCCCTAAAATCTCAGTTCCTTGGAGAGGCAGGGAAGCAGAAGAGGTCAAGGCAGTGACAGGGGAGTTCTTGCTCTTTGAGGATGCTGGGCTCTGCAGGCAATGCTGCTGCTGGAAGGCAGTGCCTGTTCACATGCCGCTGGAGAGGGTGGCATGGGCCCGCTGGTCTGTGGTCACCCCTGAGTGCAGGGGTCCAGGTTGCTCCCGGTGCCCGTCCCGTGTGGGCGCGTTGTGGAACGGAGTTAATTGCTGTCGGGGGACTGTAGAGCTGTGCACTGCCAGGAAAGCTTAAAGCAGGTGACGCTCGCAGCCCCTTGCCCAGCCTCCAGCTGAAGAGAGCCGCCAGCCGGAGGGACCGGCCGTGCCACCGGCACCGCGCCGCGGCTCGGGCTGCGCCAGCGCGCTCAGGGGACGGCTCTGCCGCCAATCAGCACCCACGATCCGTCCCACGTGACACATCCCACCATCCCTCCGGGGGCGGGGCGAAGCGGCCTAAAGGACAGGCACGGCAGCCAATCAGAGTTGCCCGGCTCTCCGGGCGACTGCCAATAGGCTGCGAGGGCGGCCGGCCCGTCCGTAGAGCCTTCCGGCGGCGGCGGCCAATCGGCGCAGGCGGGCGGGAGCTCGGTGTGTGCGGGTCAGCTCGGTGTGTCCGGTCACCTCCGCGCCGCGAAGGTGCGGGCGGGCCGCGGGCCCGGCGGGTGCAGCGGGGCCCTCCCGGCCCTGCCCTCCCGCCCTCGGGCGCGGGGAGCAACGGAGCACCGGCCTCTGGGGCCGTTCTCCCCCACAGCGTTGGGGCCCTGTGCCACCTGTTGCACAAGGGCTGACGGAGCCCCGCGGTGTCGGAGCGGGCCTGGCTCTGCCCTGTGGGTGTGGGGGAACGGGCCGTGGGGGCAGCTGTGCTCCACAGGGCTGAGCGAAACGGGGAGTCTGTGCCTGGGGCTGTCTCCCTGTGAACGGGGAGCAGGCGGGCTCCAGCCGGCAGCTCCGTGCCCGTTGGGCTGGAGCCGCAGAGCGGGCGGGGCTGGGCAGGGGGCAGGAAGCAATCCCGTCATACCCCATAAGCTTCTCTCCTGCCTGGGGGGGGGGGATCGGGGCGCTGCTGCAGTGGGACCAGCCGTGGGGTGCACCCGCCCCACCAACCACTCTCCCCACAGATGGCCCAGAGGCTGGCGCTCCAGCGGCTGCTGGCGCTCCCCACGCGGGGGCCCCTGCCATCCCACGGCAGGGCCTTCGGCACCTCGGCCGGCCGCAGGAACACTTTCAACGTGCAGGATGGCAGCGACTTCCAGGACCGGGTGGTGAACAGCCCCAAGCCCGTTGTGGTGGACTTCCATGCGCAGTAAGTTCCACTCGTGGCTCTTGCACCCTTCTCCACCACCACCCGTGCAGGTGTGTCACCGTGACTTTCCTGATGTGGTGGCACTCCGGGCTCACCATGTAGGAGCATGCCTGAGGGCTTCCCAAGCTGTGGAGTTCAGTGTTGAAAGGTGCTTCTGCTCGTCAGGCTCAATCCATGAAGATTCCCTTCACAGCTACACCCTGCAGCAGTGTCAAAGAGGAGTGCCAGGAGGGCATTCCCCAGGGTGGCACAGCTGCACCTTCCAGGTGTCACCCCAGCCCCAGTGTTGCATCATCCTACAAAAGATTCCTCAGGAAAAAGCTCTGATATCTACCCTATTTGGCTTCATGGATGCAATGTCCTCGGGGAGCTCTGCACTTGCTATGCCTCACCATTGTTATGGTGTATCATTCCATGTTTCTTAAAGCTGCATGGTTTTGAGGCTCTTTATAGCAAATGTTTTTATGTGTTAATAACAGCCATGTGACACCAATGACAGCATTTGTCATCAATAAAAATGCTGTGATCCACCTGCCAGTAAAACTATTCCTAGATGCTATCTGCTCTATTAACAATTATCTTAACTGATTAAGATAATTAGCAATATTAACTGATTATCTTTGAGTTTTTCACGTATTTTCATAGTCCTCCAGTTACTGTTATGTGAGCCTGTTACACCTGATTTGGTGCAAAGAGAACACAAAACAGCCAGAAAACTTCTGCTGTAAATAAACTAACTGACAAACACAGTGAGCACTAGTTGGGATCATCCAGGGAGGAGAGGACAATTAATTGAAGCCTGAAGCTGGACGCAGAGCTTCCTTAACCTTTGACAGCTCCTTTGTGAGAGAAGTGTTTTTCTAAGCCGTGGTTTTGGAATTGTATTTCCAGGCTGGCTCTTGAGTGGAACAGCAGTGGTGGCAAAGGCACTGGTGTTCCAGCACGCCTTCTATGGCTGCACCTGCCTCTCCTAATGTGCCCTCTCTTTTCCTGCTCCATCAGGTGGTGTGGTCCCTGCAAGATCCTCGGGCCCAGATTAGAGAAGCTGGTGGCCAAGCAGGAGGGGAAGGTGCTGATGGCCAAGGTGGACATTGACGATCACACAGACCTCGCCATCGAGTACGAGGTAGGAGGTGGAAGAGCACAGACTTTGTTTGGCTGGCAGTGCAGAGGTGCCTCCCTGAGGAGAACTGTGCCTGCACAGCAGCAGCACGGGAGGGGAGGGGAAGCCCAGAGCCTACAGGTTCCTGATCCATTGGGTCACTTGTCAGTAGGTGGATTTTGCTGCTTGGCTCTGCTCCAGCTCTGCTGGTCGTGCCCAGCATCCCCACCTCTGATTCTGCAGGGAGGTGTTTCTAGGCCTTGCAAGTGGCTGTGAGTGTAAACACTTCCCTGGCTTCGAGGAGCCTGGAGTACACATGGCATTTTGCTGCCAGCTGGGGTGCTCAGGTGCAGGGCAAGATCCTGAAGTTACAAACCCCACTCTGCTGTGCTACTGAACATGGTTCTTTGTGCAGCCAGCCTGTCCTCTCTTTCCCTTCCTTGTTCAGTATCTTGAGCTGGGTCATAACATCCCCATCCTTAAGCTGCAGTACAAGGAGACACAGTGAGTTTTGTTTGGACAGGTAGAAGCCAGGTCAGAAAAAATAACAGGAGCACACGTCCTGCTCTTGAAAGGGGAGGACCTTGCTGCTTACAGTAGTGTCTGACATTACTGCTGGGTGTGTTCCCTGTGCTGCCTTTCTCCCAGGAAGAAGCAGAATGACTGGAGAAGGCCATGCCTTTAGTTTACATGATTCATTTATTTGTCCCCTCTGACAATAGTTAGGTAGTTTAAGAAACAAAAAAGCTCCTCTGAGGGCCGTGCTTGCCTCTGTTGTTTCTCCTTGCAAACAACCACTCTGCCCATGAAGTTTGGGCATCCTGCTGTTATGTTTTACAGGGGAAAAACATGCCTCATTTTCACTTGGGTATCATGCAGATGGATCTGCTCCCCCTCTGCAGATTAAGTCCTGCTCCCAGGGTGACAACTAGCACAGCAAGCTCCTCAAACCGCCCTGAAAAGTGTGAACTATCTCCTGAGCAAGCTGTCAATTTATTGAGCCTGGAGAAGATGCCGTTCCTACACCCTGCTGAGCCAGAAGCAGACGGAAGCGGGAACAGCTTGTTCCCTCCCACTCTTTCCCCAGGGAGACCTTTCTGCTGTGCTGTGGTGGAGTGCCCCCACGGCTGGTGGCCACAGGCATGATTTGCAGTTCCCACAAGCTCAGCATGAGAGCCTCCAGGGTGCTCTCCAGGGTGGAGGCGTGCTGGCAGATACATCCCAGGCCAAGGAAGGTGGCTGCTGGCTCCTGAGCAGGCTGGCTGCTGCAAACCCAAAACCCTGCATAGCTCAGAGGGTGCTGGTGAGAAGTTGAAGAGGATGAGGTGTTTTTAGTGATGATCTGAAAGTGTGTAAATCCTAACAGATGCAGGGAAAGCTCTGGTAGCAACCATGCTAAGGAGAAGAGAATAGAGATTATTAGCTCAAGTCATGTATTGTTCCAAACCTTCCAGTAGATAGAATGAGCTGAGATTACAAGAGGATAATCTCAGGGGAGTGGAAAACGACAGGCAGGGTGTGTGCATGCAGAGAAAGGTCTGTGAAAACAGGCTGAAAGCCCAAAGTTGTGCAGCTTTGATAATGTGCTGGGTGTCCTCTCCCCACGGGTGCTGAGGGAGCACTGCTTGCTGTGTGTGTTTGTGTGCAGGTAGGACTGAGGCTGCAGGGAAGGGTCAGCTAGCAGTTCATTCAGGAACCTTATTTATAAACATGATGAAGTTTTTGTTTTGCAAGAAGCCCTCCTCCACTTTTGGAGTGATGCGTGTGTGTCTTGTCTTGGCCATTATCCCCGTGGCTAAAACGCTGTCCTTAGACTGTCTGCATGTACCATAGCTGCAAACAGGTAGGGAGGTGGGAGAATTTTGTGCTCAGATCTTCAGAGTTTGGAGCATCCTTTCTGAGGCAGAAGTTTTATTCATGTGCTGAGCATGTGCTTGGTTTTGCTTCATCTTCTGGGAAGTTACCATGTAAGGAGAAGTGTAAGGGCTGATGGGAAGGCAGTAAGTTGAGATCAAAGAGGGACCAGAGTGTTTGTGAGAGATCAGGAAAACCACAGGTGGTGTTTAGAGGGAACCAGAAAACATTTATTTTAAAGTCATTCTTTAGGGAATCAGATGTCTGCACGCTGCGGAAGTGTTTGTTTGGGGTTTTCAGTGTCCATGCCACCCCCACAACTCCTTCACTAGCTGCCAGGAAGTCTCACTCCATCCATGTTTATTCCCCTGCCCACACACACACGCACCCCCAGCTTGCTGCCTGCTTGCACAATGTCCTCTTGAGCAGCCTCCTGGGTGCAGAGGGAGGCAGTGGGAGGGGGAGGCCCCCTGGAAGAGCTGAGGAATGCTGGCACATTCCTTCATACAAGCCCTTGGCTCTTAGCCATCCCAGCTTAGCACAAAGCACAGATGCATTTCCTGCAACTAGGAATGTCCCCTGTGCCCTTCCCTGTCCGGTTATGCCCAGCACAAAAGTGTTTTCTCTGGGGACTCCCTGTTTTATCAAATACCTTTCATCTCTGGTTGTGGCCTTTCTCCACTGCTCCAGCCAGATCCTGACCTCTCGCCCCAAGAGCAGAAAGGGAGAAGAAATACTTTTGTTTATCTGCAGTCTCTTAAAATTCTTCAGATTCATCTCTTGCCTTAGCCAGTTGCCTCTGTGTGTGGTAACCAGGAAAGGGCAGCCCCTTCTGTGGCCACTGTGGGTGGGCAGCTCAGGAGAGCCACTGGGTACAGAGGTGATCATTCATCATTGGAGCTCCATCCTGTTACCTGCTCACTCAGAGGCCTGAGTGAAATACTTCCCTCTGCTCTGTTGTGTGGCATCTGAGCTTGTATAAAAGTTTCAGATGGGAGAGAATTCCCTTGGTATGGGTGTTGCCACAAATAACCTGGATGGGCATGTTTATTTATTTATCTGTGGTCAACACTAATCAAAAGCAGACTGATTTTTTCTATAGAAATGCTCTTCAGGGAGGAGTAAAGTTTGTTTAGGTTCAGTGCAGATGGGACCCAAAAAAAGAAAAAGTGCTCTCAACTTTGCATTCTAGAAATTCCCATGATATTTGCTTCTCAACCAGCAAAACAAAGTACATGCTCCATTAATAGGCTGCCCTTACTGCAGCTGGCAGGAAGGAAGCTGACAAAAACATCGTGTTTTCTGAGCAGAGGAAAGTTGCTCTGTGCCCTCAGTTCTCATCTGGCTCTGCAGCACCAGACCCAGACCTTCCACTCTTTCTTTGGATTTGCTCCCCTGCACAAAGAGGGAAAGAGACAGAGGAATCAAGGCCATGTGAAACTCGTGGGTGCGCTGGTCAGCCTGCAGGGCCTGGCAACGTGGTGTTGGCTGCTTCTCACTAGAGCTTCCAGGAGTTTTGCCTGTTCCTCACCCCAGCCCTAACAGGGGCGAGCTCTTGTTTTTTTGGATAGGATTGGAGCAACTCTGCTGGATATTAACCCACTGTGCAAACCGGAGGGAGGCTCAGTGGAGGTTTGCCTTCTCAGGGACGGAGCAGCTGAGTGCAGTGCATCTTTTCTCTCTCACAAAATCACAAGGGAACATGTTGGCACCATCGGCGGTGCTGGGGCCCAAGCCCTCTGGATCTGCTCCCTGCAGTCACTAGGAGGAGCTGAAGATTGTGCATTGAGCAGCCCCGACGCTCCCATCCCTTCAGACGAGACTGCACAAGCCCTGAAGGACACTGTGGGGAGCCACGCTGGACTGCCCAGCTGGGACCGGGTGGGAAGGGAAGACAAAATGTCCCTTTCATCTCAGGCTCCCATTGGAAGAAAAGCCAGCCCTCTGATGGGTTTCCAGAGGGATTTACAGATCTCTGTTGGCAGCAGGGCTGGCAGTGCATACGGGAAGGCCCTGCAGGCTGGAGAAGAGTCAGCGGGCAAGATAAGGACAGGATGTGTTTTGGGGGGAAAACTTTGCAGAGATAAGCTGTGGGGTCAGAAATGTGATCAGATCTTCCATTGCTGTAGCTCTCCAAGCTCTGGTTGCTCCTTCTTTCAGTCATGTCCCTGGGGTTTCTGCTGTCACTAGTCAACCAGCAAGTCCCTGGGGAATGTTGTCATTTCCAACACTGTTCTCTTGGATAATTCCCAGCAATCTTTGTTCTGAACTAAAAAAGCAGCGCCCAGAGCAGCACAGCTGCCTGCTAGCTCTGGTCAGAGGGACTTTTTCACTTCTTACCTCATCATCAGGGATCTGCACTGAATGACCACTGGTTTGTGACCAGTTAAACAACTGAAAACAGAACTGGGGAAAGGAAGAAGGCTTGGAGGGGATTGTCATTGCCATAATATGAGCAGGAAATCTGCCTGTGCAATGGTGGGGTGGGTTAGGGTTAGAGCTCCAGTCCTGTCTGGAGAAGAACACAGGTCCAGTCTCATGCTACTCTGGCCATAAAATGTCCAAAGGTCATTATGTCTGAGATGTGTCCTAGGTGTGTTTGTTTATGAGAGGACAAAAGGGAAGGAGGAGAAGAAGCTTTTTTACTGGAGATGGTTTTTGTATTAATTGTGGTTTTGTCTTTAAACATTTGGGTCTTATTTAAACTCAAAAGCAGCTCAGCCTTATCTCCAGTAGAGTGGTGTAAGTCAGTGCAGAGAGGGGGAACACAGAGCTCAGCTGGCCTGTTTTGCCAGTGGACATCTTACCCTAGAGGAGTGTGTGCTCAGCTCCCTTGTAGCCACGTCCTTAGACTTCACTGGGAGACCAGGGGCAGGTGGCTTCCTGCAGGCTTTGCTCACCTGTCTCCCTGTTTCTCTTGCCCCAGGTGTCAGCAGTACCAACTGTGCTGGCTATGAAGAACGGAGACGTTGTGGATAAATTTGTGGGCATAAAGGACGAGGATCAGCTGGAGGCGTTCCTCAAGAAACTCATTGGAGCCTGAAGTAAAAGGGTGGCTGTACCCCTGCCTCTGGACACGTCCATGTTGTGCATTCCTTGCCTGGGAGAGCTGTGGGCAGGTCAATTGCCTGCCTGTACAACCCGGGGGTTTCTTCTGTTTTGGTGTTTTTAGGAGATGGAAAATGTTGTAACCCTTCCCTCCTTCTCCCCCTTCTCATGAGCAGCAGTAGTTGCAAAGGGCACTGAGGAGCAGGGCTGCTTATTCTCAAAATGGGGAATGTGGCTGGAATTAGGAGCCTGTGTTTATCAGCCAAGAGCTGACGTGCAGAGCTGCTGCTGCTGCTGAGTTAAGAGGAGGAATGTTTTTGTCTTTGCCTCACATCTGATAGCCCAGAGCAGAGGGCAGCTGCTCCCTGCAAGATGATGGTACATACCTGCCCTGGGTGGGTTCCTTTAAAGCTGAGAATGCCTCTGCCTCTGTGAAACCTGTCTCTTTCTTCCTCTGTCCTTGTCTTGATGGGACAGGTACAACTCCTCCACAAATCCATGGGCTCCCACCATAATTTAATAAGAGAAAATAGGGAGAAGTATTTTATAGATCTCCTTTTGTTTGTCTGCAGCAGTAGAGAACTTTTATCAGTCACTGCTGTCTAGCCAGGAGAATAAAACTCCATTCTCACAAATCTGTGCAGAGAGGTGAGTTGGGAGTATCAGCAGCACAGTTTCTAATGATAAGTTGGGTGTGTGCAGGTTATGACTTGATCTCTTACTAAAAGGTAATGTGCTGAAAACAAAATAGGGTATTCCTTCCATGGGACTTTCAGTAGGACCCCCTTTGTGTGCTGCTGGATGCAGGGGGCCAGAGGAGGACTCACCTCTCATGCACAGAACAGCTGCTCCTTGCACACAGGGAACCTGAGCTGTGCTCCCTCCCCCTGTGCTTTTCTCACCCCTCCCTGTCTGTGGAGCTGAGAGCCTCCCTCTCCCTGTCGTGAATAATTCAGCGTGGCCACACGGGTGAGCTCTGCCAGAAGGCAGCCTTTTGACTTCAATTGCCCTGACCTTTGGACTAAGGGTACCAGTTGTGGGCTTCTGTCTGAGCAGCCTTCAGCCCTTCTAACCTCTTCCTCCTCCTCCTCACATACATACACCTGTTTCCTGTCAACCTGGCTTCGGAGTGCTCCCAGCCTCTTCCTGAGCTTGCAGGCAGAGCACAGCACCAGCACTGATGATTACTGTACTGTTTAATTCCAGCTTGCTTATCTAAGCTGCATGAGAACATTGTAAATGCTTAATAACTATGTACAAGCTGCCTTTTTTTTTTTTTTTTTTTTTACCACAGCTTCTGTTTCCTTCAGTCAGTCTTAAATCTGCTCTGGCATTGCTCCATTTTACCTCCCTGGTATATGAGCAGCCAGGTAATTTTTTTTCTGCACCTCTGCAGTAACAATTTATGACTTTTGAAGGAACCAGGGGAGTGGTGATCCAAGTCCTGCTGCAACTGCAGTGCAGCTGGCTGGCATCACTGCTCCCACCTGCTTCTGTTCCCCTGGAGCCAGGCCACAGCACAAGGTGGTACCGGTCTCTTGAGGTGGGTGCCTCCCACTGGGGCTGGGCTGACCTCACCGCTGGCACACTACTAGAGGTGATGTCACTTGAATGTAATCTGGTAAAGAACTGTTGGGCAGTTAGAATCAATAAAAACTGGCATTTCATTTTATTCCAGAGATCACAGAGGCTGTGCTGCTCCTGACCTCCTTGGGTTTCAGGCTGGGCAATTTCCCCTGCAGTTTCAGTGTTCCTGCTCTGTAAACACTTCTAGTAAAGACTCTCCATTTTCCTGCACAAGCAGGAAAAGTAGGGGAACAGCGTCACATACCCAAGAATAATGAACTTTCTTGCCTCACCATCCTACAGAACAGGAAAAAACACAGTGACTTTGCATTGTGTAATTAAGGGGCAGTACAAAATAGTTATTTTATTGCTTCCTTCTAAGGAAAAGCAGAGCTAAAGTGTCACTCAGCTGTTAAAGTGCCAGCACATTTTAGGGTGCATTATGGGAAAGCCACAACTGTTTCTTTGAGATAAATGCTGAAGACCCACGTACTTGATGCCTTGTGGGAATCCTTCAGAACAGTGTAACAGGTGGACAGTAGGAGGAAAGGTTTGGGGACAGCTTGAGATTCCTCAAGTAGCCTGCAAGGTTTCTACCACAGGACAGGACTCAGAGCAGAAGGATATTTTCTTTGCCAGGTTTTTAATTCAGCACCCTGTTTGCCAACTGCTGGAGAAGGCTTCAGGGATTCCCACAGCGGTGTTAATAACAGGAGGTGCAAGCAGGAAGCAGTGCCAGCAGTGTATTTATGTAGTGGTTAAAGAGGGGCTGCACAACAATTTTCATGGCACCTGAATGTGATGTTGGCCTTTCCAATTGAAGGGAGCTGAAGCACTGGGTAATTCCTCAGCAGTAGTTGTTTTTTCCATGTCAGCTGGGAGAATGTTTCTCCAGTGAGGATGAAGTTTGTTTTCCCTTTTGGAGTTAAGCACTTTGAATCCTCCTCTGATCTGTCAAGCATTTGCTCTCTCCTACCCAAGCCTGTCTATTTCACAGCAGCTTTCTCAGCTCTTAATGTTCCTCGTTTCTATTTTAAGAGTACATGGCAATCAGTGCCTTCCCAAGGGGAGCAACACTCAGCTAAGCCCACGTCTCTTCCCCATGAATGTTTTGAAGCCAACGCCAAGGGTCAGGCACAGCGCCTCTGTCCTCACAGCCTTGTCCAAGGTGCCTGATTCCAGGCAAGCAAAGGTTTTCCATTCATTTCTGTTGGCTTTACATTTTGTATCAAGCCCTAACACAGCTGCTCCTTTCCCCAAGATGTTTGTGCCTGCCTGCTGAACTCCGAGTTCATCTCCAGCTGCTCTGGCTCAGTGAATATCTGCAAGGAGGGAGGGAGAGCTTTGCTGTCTTCTCTACTAGAGGTGCTATGCCAAGACCAGCTTCTAGGGCTGGTAGAGGATGGAAAACTCAGGTTGCTTGGCTTGTGGCACACAGTGGGCTGTGTATATATGATCCTCTGAAGGGGATAGTTTGGGCCAGTTTGTTTCCAGTGAGGTCTGACCTTGGCAGCCTCACTAGTAAATCCCTTGCTTTATCAACAAATAAGATTGCTCCTGTGCAAAGAAGAAAACAAAGACCAGCTCCATGTCAACAGGGAAATGGCCCTCACTGACACTGCCTTAGGCAGGGCCTTTCACCAGCCCAGCCAGGCTGGTGGCCCAAACAGTTTGTTAATCACTCTGAGCTTCCCCTCACACACCTCATTTTTCTCATCCAAGTAATTATAGGATTGAGACAGAATCAGCAGTTAAATTCTCCAGCCCTGCAAGGCTGTTAGCAGCAATGTTAAGCTCTGTGTTGTTCAGAGCTTAAATGGTGGCAGGTGTTTGCTGTGACTTTCCTGCAAGTTAAAGAATAACAGCAGCTGCAATAGTCTAGTCAATAAAAAGATAAGATAAAGCTACCATAGGCTTCATTTCCAAGCCAAAACCAGCCTAGATCACCTGTTGCACAGTCTCTTGTCCTCCTTACCTGCCCCTGCAACACACCCAGGCTCAAGCAGTGGTTTAACCCCAGCTGACAACTAAGTACCAGGCAGCTGCTTATTCACACCTCTCCTGGTGGGATGGGAAGGAGAATCGGGGGAAAAAAGGCAAAACCAAAAGTTGAGACACGAACAGTTTATTAATTTGAATAAAGTAAAATGTAAGAATAATGTAAAAATACTTGTAATGAAAAGGGAAACTACAAAAAGAAAGAAAACACAAGAGAAACAAGTGATGCACAGTATAATTTCTCACCATTTGGCTGATTGATGCCCAGCCTGTTCAGTGACTGGCTGGGCATCACAGCCTGAGCAGTGACTGGCTCCTTCCAGATAACTCCACCGGTTTATATCAACTCTATTGGCCACACTTCTTCTCAGCTTCTTGTGTAGCTCCTCACTGGCAGAGCATAGGGAACTGAAAAGTCCTTGCTTTAAAGTAAGCTCTGCTTAGAAAGAAGTAGAGCATTGGTATGTTATCAGTATTATTCTCATACTAAATCCAACACACAGCACTGCACTGGCTGCTAGGAAGAAAATTCACCCTGTCCCAGTCTAAATCAGGACACTGTCCATCACCACGTAGGGGTGGTGTTCTGCCATGTCCTGTTTTTTTCAAGGATGTGGGGTACCTGTGTGAGCTTTGTGGTTTCTCTGCCTCAGCAGCTCTGTAACTTCGGCAACACTTTTTCCCTTAAAACCTTTTGTAGGCAAAAACCAAAGACTGCAGCTCTCAGGAAAGTGGTAGTCCCAGGCTAGATGCAGTCTGGAGGCAGAGGCTGTGCTGAGCATGCCTGGTTGCTTTCTCCCTCTGTGCATTCTACAGCCAGGGAAGGATGGAGGCAGGAGCAGCAGTGGAAACCCTGAATGTCTTAGACCAGAGGAGCCAAATGGGTAAAAACAAGAGGCCTACAGGGATAGACTGAAAATGGGTCAGCCCAGATCCCAGTGGGAATGGAGTGAGGAGAAACCCTGTGGCTGCCTTCCTGGTGGCAAAGGGTGCCTTGCCCAAGGGTGGGAAGTGAGACAGGGAAACAGCCTACAAGGAGAGGCCAGAGGGGGACATTGGAGCCGCTCTTGTCCTGAGGGTGGAGGACAGCTGGAAGCTGCAGGCGACAGGGCAGCACCCAGTTTCCCACCTCACATTGACTTCCTAGGCTCTCATGATCCAAAAGTCACAATAAAAATGCACTAAAATGGATGGGTTCTCCCCATGGCCTGCATGAAATAAGGTAGGTCCCTACAGGTGTATGTGTATATACATACATGTTTATCTACTCCCATACTCTGGTTCTCTGTTGTGAAGAGTGCCAGGAGTTTTTGTGACTCACAGATGTCCCCAGCAGCTGCAGCTGTTGACAGAAAAGGACAGGGGCCAGCCTGCTCCCACCCAAGGCAAGGCTGAGCTCCCTGTACCATTCTGAGCCCCTCCATGCTTCTTTCACTCTGCTGCTAAAGGCACTCTGGCTCAATCTCTCTTACCAGTGGACAAGTGGTTGAGCAACTTCCTGCAAAACAGGAAATTTTTGCAGTGAGAGTCCTCAGAAACACTGACTTCAAGTCATCCAGGGGGGTACAGCATCCATCAGAGATTTCGGTGTTTTCCAGAGATGGTGACCTCTGGTCACCCGCGTGGCTGCAGCTCCTCCATGGCAGCCCCACACAGCTGTCAGTGAGAGGGTGTTTGTCCCGGCAGTCTCCGCACATGGAGCTCCATGGCCTTGGGAAGGAGAGGAGCTGTGCCCCAGGGCTGCTGTCTTGCTCCATGGTGAGGCAATAAGGCTTCCCCGCAGGCAGCGCCCGTAGCCGCGGGCTCCTTTCCCTGCAGGTGGCTTTACCCGCGGGGCCGTGGCACAGGCAGCAGCAGGTAACAAACGCAGCCCTGGCTCTGGCTGTCACAGCGGACGGGATGGAGAAGGAGTGATGCAAGCTCCGGCATGCCCGCTGGTATTTATATAACATCGTTTTGCTTTAATCCGGCTTTTTAAGTAAACTGTCAAAGCCCTTTCTGTTCACTTGTTCATTAGGAACCTTTTTCTTTCATTTTTTTTTGACTGCAAGTTTCATCTTTCAAAGCTTGGCTAGTTTTGAGTGATGCCGAAAAACCTCATTTACAGTAGCTTTTTGTTCTGTGCTGGTATTGTTCAGGCAGAAGTGGTTGTTTTCTTTTAGTCCTGGCATAGCTCAGAAGTGACTGCATAGTCTGAGCTCAAACTTTCTAAAAATACTTACCCGTGAGGAGAGATCCAGCATGGCACTGTTCAGACCCAGAGATTAACGCCTTGGAAAGGTGCACTGATCTGAAAAGGAAGCCAGTGGCAGTCTCCTGCCAACTCCGGTCACTGTAAGCCCTGGAGCTTCAACACGTGGCAGGCAGAGAGGATCTGCAGAGGGCTGTGGATCTCTGAGGCACCAGGGAAATCCACCCAGTGCCTGCAGAACCAGCCCAAGGGAGATACTTTCTGAGGAGAGGCTATAGGGTGACTCAGAAGCCATAAAGAGAAGCACTTCTTGCTGTTTGGAGAAGCAAGGCTGAACAATGAGCCAGAGGTTGGTCTTCATAATCACATCCTCCTGTTGGAGCGTGAGATGGCTCTGGGGGAAGGGAGGATGACAGGCACGGAGCAGAACAGAGATCAGACATATGACAAATTGCAGGAAAGCATGTGGGAGCTCCTTTTTGTCCTACCACTGGCCGATTGCAGGAAGCTTCCCAGGTGACAGCTTTAGCAGCTGCTGGGGCAGGAGACCTTATTGTTCAGCACTTGTGTTTATGGCTATGCCAGTTTTTGGCAGGAAGCTACAAGAAAAAACCCCACATTCTTCCTTCTTGCTTGCCAGGTCTGTTCTCAAGGGGCTGATCCTTCAGCCTAAGCTATTTCAGCTCACTACCTGAGGAGATCCAGCTTCCCCTTCCCAGCCAAGCAGGTCCCATGGGCTTCATCTTAAAATCCTGGCAAGAGCATGGAAACTTTTCACAGAGCTCAGGAAAGACTAAAAGTTGTTGCTATCATACCTACTACTGCATTTCTCATGCTAAACTGTGCGGTTGCCCAGCGCTCCAATCCCCTTGTACCTGTCTGAACCCTGTTTAGTTCTTGTTCCCCTTTCCCTGACCTTGGGATCAAGT